GTGTGGTAGTGAGCAAATCACTTCTCTGTGCCTCAGGTTCCTTATCTGTATGGTGTTAATGTCTATTTCAGGTAGTATTTATGTCATATATAATAGTATCTATTACATATTTAATACTATCTAGGTGCTTGCTAATTTTAGTAGTAGTTCATTAATACCCCATTCTCTCTCGCAAAGCACTATAGGATACTTGCAAATCTGGGCTAAGTGCCTACTCTTGGTGAATTAATTCGGCTGGTAAACTATGCCATGCTCATGAGTTTTCACTGTTCTCCACCCTGGTGCACTTCAGTAGATAATACTTGATTCCATCACCCTGCACAAAAATACTACTCAAGGCTATAGCTAGTTATTACTTTTACTAGGTGCTGGGTAATATTTTATTACTCTATAATGAAGAGTTCACTCATGTCTTAAAAAAGCATTTTTGTGATTATTACTAATCATTGACACTTACAGCATGCCAGTTGCATCATCATTTTTTTTTTCTCTTCTTTCCACTAAGGCACAATCTATCCTTTCTTCAGATCCTTTTGGAAACTCTAAATTTCTCACTTAATTTTAATGATTAATTTTATTCTTTTGTGTGAATGCTCTGATTTTCTGACCATGACCTATGGGATATATCTTAGGAGCTAATTAGCAGCTTAACCTGCTTTTCTGAGTTAATAATAGAAGATAATTGTTTTAGAGAGAGGAGATGGTTAAAATCAATTGAGCATATACCTTTGCAGGCATATTTTTAGTTTAAACAAAGAAATATTAAGAAAAAATAAAAATATGGGATTTGGTACCAAAGAATGTTGCATAAATGCACAGTTAGAAAGTAGCAGGTCCAGAATCTGGACACACATTCTTTGTACCATACTATATTGAAATATCCCTTTATGATTTTGAAATATAAAAATTTTTTCTCAGATTACACTTATATGTGCTTTTTAATTATTGAGATACATATAAATCTTGTCTACAGAATGATATTAAAAATATAATCAATGGCTGGTGGAGTAACTTTTATGTCTGTGTTGCTGTTATTTAATTTGAAATGTTCAACCATGTGAGTATATTGGCAACAAAGAAACTCCCATTGGCTTGAAATAATTAATATAGAGTGGATCATTGATGGGGAATTTATTAGAGGCATGGTCAACTACATAATTTGAGGGACCCAGTGCAATATGAAAATGCAAAACCCTGGCCAGTGACAAGAAATCAGTCTCTCCTTCCCCAAAACTTACAACTCCAAACCATAGCATCCAGGAAACTACCAAGGCATTGCAAGTACCATTTGAAGACATGCTCAGAATATGGATTGGGATGATTGAGATCCCAAATTTACCTGGATGGCACCATGGATCTAGCTACTTCAGTCAGGGATGACTGCCACCTTGATTTTTACCCATTTCCAGATGTTGCAGGGCCGTAACTTAAAACTGATCCTACCTACCCTCAATGCACTCTATCTGACAGGACTTTCTATTGCAAAACACAGATTCAAAGATAAAAGTATTAAGAATTTCAAGATGATAACTGCAGAAAATTAAATATAAGTTGCAAGGTATTTTGAGCACTGGGCCCTATGCAATTTCACTGGTTATATTGTAATGAAGCCAACCCTTATTAGAGGAATTGACAGAGATAAATACTGGTCCTTTGGAAGAATCATAATACTTTCATACTTTTCTGGATTCCTGCTTATGAAGATAAGAAAATCCCATATTTCCCTAGCAGATGCCTACCTGAAGAGTTAGGCACAGATTATAGAAGATGACCTGAAAGCTTTCTGTGAAGCTGCTGTCTAAATAGGGACATTAGGAAACAAAACAAATTGACAGAGTCAATGAAACGAAATTGTATTCCAGGTCAACTATACAGTGTGATAAAAACACCAAGAAAGGGAAGTTTAAAATATATTTTAGGGAAAAAGCAATCTTAAATTGAACCCTTATTTTAAATGATACTCAAAATCAAATTAATAGATTAAAGATTTAAATTTAACACTTCAAACTATGAATCTCCTATAGAATATAAGGGAAAATCTTGTCATCAATCTAGGCAATGATTTCTTAAATATTTGCCACCCAAACCAAAAATAGATAAGTGAAAATACAACAGACTAAAAACACTTCTGCACAGCAAAAGAAATAATCAACAGAATGAAAAGGCAAACTGTGAAATGGGGAAATATTTATAAGCCATATATATGATAAGAAGTAATATCCTAAACTTATAAGGAATTCACACAAATTAATAGCAAAAAAAAATCCAAATAACCCTATGAAAAAAATAGGTAAAAACCTTAATATATATTTCTTAAAAAAGACATATAATCATCAGTATATAAAAAGATTCTCAGCATCACTAATCATCAGAAAAATGCAAAACAAAACCATAATGAAATATTACCTCACATACATCAGTTAAGGTAGCTATTATGAAAAATAAAAGGTAATGAGTATTGTCAAGGATATGGAAAAATTTGGAATCCATCTCACTATTGGTGAGACTACAAAATGGTTCAGCTACTATGAAAAGCAGTATGAAGTTTTCTCAAGTAATTGGAAATAGACTAGCATATGATCCATCAATCCCACTTCTGAGTATATACCTGAAGGAATTAAACTCAGGATTTCTAAGAGATATCTGTATTCCCATGCTCATTTCAGCACTACTCATAATAGCTAAGTATGGAAACAGATCACATAGTCATTGACAGATAAATGAATGAAAAAAGTATGGTATAGATATACAGTGGGCTATCATTCAGACTTTAAAAAGAGGAAATTCTTCCAAATATGATAACATTAATGGACCTGAGGACATTATACTATGTAAAATGAGTCAGTCATAGAAGATCAGAGACTGCATGATTCCACTTATATGAGGTACCTAAAATTGTCAAATTCATAAAAACAGAGAATAGAAAGATGTTTACTAAGGGGCCAAGGGAGTGGGAAAATGGGGACTTGGTGTTCAATTGGCATAAAGTTACATATATTTAAGATGAATTGGTTCTAGATAACTGATCTAGAGAGTAGTGCCTATAGTCAACAAAATTGTCTTATATATCACTAATTCTCCAGCAATGGACTCCAACCAAAAGGAAATTTTTGAAATGTCAAATATGGAATTCAATATATGGATCACAAGTAAGCTCAATGGGATTAATGAGAAAGTTCAAAACCAACACAAAGAAATAAAAAAATAATTCAGGACATGAATTATAAATTCATTAAAGAGATAATTATAAAAACAGCAGAACTTCTAGAAATGAAGAATCTTTTAAGGAATTTCAAAATACAGTATAAAGCCTTAACAGAAGAGTAAACCAAAAAGAAGAAAGTTTCAGAGTTTGAGGATAAGGATTTCAAATTAACCCAGTCAGTCAAAAATAAAGAAAAAAGAATGAAGAGAAATGAACAAAATTTCTGAGAAATATGAGACTATGTAAAACACCCAAACATAAGAATCACAGGTATCCCCGAGGGAGAAGATGAAAAAACAAAACCTATTTGAGGGAGTAATGGAGGAAAATTTTGTGGGTTTTGCTACAGATTTAGACATTCAGGTACAAGAAGATCAGCCAATTCCTGGAAGATTCATCCCAAATAAAAAGTTTCTTAAGAGGAGAGATCTCATATTAAGTGTTTACAATAAAATAAATCAAAACAACAAAAAAGGGATGCAAAGAAACTTTTAGAGATGATGTCTATATAGATACATATATATTTATTACATCTATATATATTACATCTATTATATATTTTATTATCATATATATAGATACATATCAATTTATGATAGTGATGGTTTCAAGGTATATACACAGGCTAAATGCAGAAAATATATTAAATGCATGAAGTTTGTTAATGTCAATTATTCATCAATAAAGCTGTTTTGTTGTGTTTTTTTTTTTAAGAAGAGTTTCATCTAGGTGCGGTATCTCATGCCTGTATCCCAGCACTTTGGGAGGTTGAGGCAGTAGCATTGCTTGAGACCAAGAGTTTCAGACCAGCCTGAGCAACATAATGAGGCCCTGTCTCTACAAAAAATTTACAAATTAGTCAGTCATAGTGGTGAGTGAATGTAATTCCAGATACTTGGGAGGGTGAGGAGGAAAAATTGCTTGAGCCCAGGAGTTTGAAGTTACAATGAGCTATGATCATGCCAGTGTACTCTAGCCTAGGTGAGAGAGCAAGACTCTGTCTCATAAAAAAAAAGAATGTTGACATATTTTGTTGAATTAAATAAGAAAGATGGAGTAGTACTGGGAATAAGACTGAACAATGAGTTAGGGCCAGATTGTGACTTAAATTTACTTGGAAGAAAAAGTCATCCTTTAAAGGGGAATTATATGGCCTGATATTGATTGATTGATATAAGCTTTAATTTCTTGACAAAAATTGTCTTGCCTCATGATGGTTTTGTGTTAACTCAAAAGGGCTATATGTTCACAAATTCATTGGATAAATTACAGACTGTCAAAGAGAGATGTGATATAGTGGAAGAAGTCAGGAATTAGGGACTTGTCTTCTAGTATTTGTGTATATTTAGATGATCCAAGATGAATAAACCCTGTGAAAGTGAAATTCTAGGAAATAGTAACTGACAGTAAGTACATGGATTTTCAAAACCACACAAAAATCCATCCCAAATCCTGACATAGGAAAACATACAATGAAGATATCTGTTGAAATTACATAATAAAATCATAAACATATCTGCAAACTTTGAGAAAGCCTGAGTGGGGTATGTGTTTTGTTTGACCTGGCTTCAAGACAACAGAACCCACTAGTCCTGATGAAATTGTGTGGTAAAGGGGAGCAGGATCCCTCCATGCCCAATATTGAACTGAAGGAAAAGTAGGTAGAACCACAGGGAAAAAATAGAAGATTTTAACTAATACTGCTTTCATAGTTTGTCAAAACAGAAGCCATAGACAACTAGGCGTAGATGGTTGTGAGTTAGGTCATAAAACACAGGGATATAGACACCATGGCTCTGGTGAGTAGATGTTTTTAATAGATATTCTCACGAGGTGTTTAATGTGATCCATTCAAAATTAGAGCTGTCAAGCGACTTCTAAGACAGGAAGATCACCAGCTGAATGGGACGTTGCACTTCTCCAGTGTGCTATAATGTCCAATAGATCTTCATAGTAGTCCTGGAACAAAATAAAACTAGAGTCAGATAAGATAATACAGATTTTCCCAAATGAAGCAATTTCTACCAGAAAGTAAGTATAATTCCCCTGTATAAAATTCTGTGACTTCAGAACTTTAGGACTCTGAATGATTAAAACTAAAAATATAGCCTCATATACTTGCTATGGGCTGAATTTTCTCCCCCTAATATCATATGTTGAAGTTCTAACTTTCAATACCACCAAATGTGACTATATTTAGACACAGGGCCTTTAAAGAAGTAATTAAGGTTACATGATGTCATTAAGATAAGCCTTAATACAACATGACTGGTCTCTTTATAAAAAGAGATTAGAACACAGACATGCACAGAAGAAACATCATGGGAAAACAAAGGGAGAAAATAGCCATCTACAATCCAAGGAAAGAGACCTAAGGAGAAGTCAACCTTGCCAACACTTTGATCCTTGAACTTCTAGTCTCCAGAACTGGGAGAAGGTAAATATCTACTGCTTAAGCTACCCAGTCATTGGTACATTGTCATAGCAGTCCTAGCAAATTAATACCCCTAATGCATAAATACTAAGAAAAAGTTATCAACTATATTTAGGAAATGTTAAAGAGCAATTGATAGCCATTTATCCTAGGTTTAAGAAAATATATATTATGAATATATTTACTTTTAAGTATGCATATATAAAGGGAAATGAGATGAAAGAGAAGTATTTGAAGAGGTAAGCAGAATACACTAAACATATTTGAAAATAATAATTTATTTCAGATTAATTCATTAAAGCAAATTAGAAGCAATGAATTAAAATTCTATTTTGTTTAAAAGTTAAAGAGCCATAAACATTCGGGTGCAGATGTCTTTATAATAGAGTGACTTATATTCTTTTGGATAGATGCCCAACAATGCTATTGCTGGGTCAAATGGTATTTCTATTTCTAGTTGTTTGAGGAATCTCCAAATTCGCACCGTTTATGCTATCGTGGATTAAGCTTAAGCCTGTAATACAAAGCGAGACAACACAAGACCTGGAAAATGGGCTACACATCTACTCACCATCAAATTGGTACTGACACCCTAAAACTATGGTGTTCAAATAATTGTAGTGTTCAACAGGGATCTGAGAAGGGGGAGACCCACATCTTAAGGATGTGATGAGCATTGTAGGGGGGGAAGGATTACCTCTATCCCTTTTTAGGGAGAGGCAAAGAAACACACTGTAACCAAAATGTCTAAAAAAAAAAAATTTGTTAATGGGAGGTGAACAGGTGGAAGGGGGGAAAAAGGGAAGGGTACGCACTTTCATGGTGGGTGCAGGGCGCACCACTTGAAGATTGGACATGCTTGAAGCTCTGGCAGAGTGGGGTGGGGAGGGGGGCAGGGGCAAGATATGTAACCCTAACAATATTTGTACCCACCGAATTTGGGAAAAAAAATAAAATAAATAAAAAATAAAAAAAAATTAAAGACCCAATTGTAAGATAAATGGAATTCATATATATTCAAATATCCAGCATTCTGTATATGTCCTTTATGTTTAAATAAGAAAATTTTATTGATAATCAAATGTACTTTGAGATTTTTCAATCTTTTAATGCTATTTTTGGGTTTTAAGAGGATTGGGTATTAACAGGATTCTAATGCTTAGCTCAATTTTAAGCTTATAGCACAAATGCTACTCATCCTAAATCCCATTTTAAAATTCTATTCTCTTCTTTATTGCTATCCTTAGCCCAGATAGCTTTCATTTCTTCCGCTTAAACATCATTCAAACAAGGCTACTTGTGTCAATGACTTTCATTGCATATATGGGGCAGCAAATAATAATAATAGAATGTGATAAGATAAAAACTTTAAATTACTTACTAAATATCACTACCCTAAAATTAGATGTCCACTACACATAAAGGAGACATTCTCCCTGGCTTTCTTATGCCATTTATTGAGAGATTTCAATAACTTTCCCAAGTACCAACTGCCAACTTCTCTCTCTCCCTTTCAAAAAAAATTATCTCTTATGTAGATAAATTAACTTTTTCTAATGTAAACTTCTTCTGCTCGTGCTATGCTCAGGGGCCTCATCTCTCATGTTCCACTATCTCTTATGCCATTAAGGTACTTTACCTAAGACAAGGAAAATTTCTCTTCCTAAGAAGAAGTTGCCTTTCTTTCTAAATGAACTCAATAAAACAACACACAGTTTTAATTTTCTGGGGGGTTTTGGGCCATTTTTGTACAAGCAATGATTAATGATAAGCTAAGGTAACAATCTAAAACAGATAAGAAAAAAAATTAAGTGCTCCTCAGCTTAAAAATCCTACACCAGAATATAAAATGCCTTAGAAGTAGAAAGTAGCAGAAAATAGAACAATCATGCAAAAACTGGCTTGTGAACACACACACACACACACACACACACAGAGTTTATTAAAATTCTGAAGGACAGGATAAATGAATGAGATTGTTTACAAATAGAAAAAAACTATATAGTAAGCCCAAACATGCAGTGGGTGGGAGACCTTTTAAATGGCCATAATATATTGATCACCCTCATTTGTTTCACTGGCCATTAGGTGATTCAAGGAGTCAGTCACATTGAAAGCTATTCTTAATTGATTATAGTCCTTGGGTAATTAGAGGACAGGGAATAAGAATTAACTTACATTTATTGCCACCTGCCCCTCACAACAATTCTGGTGCTACCATGACTCTACTTTTTTTCTGCCCAGAAAAAGCAGCAGGCAACAATTTTCCCATAACAATATGCTGGAGAGAAAAGCTGTCCCACAGCCTATTCCCTGACCATGGTGCTGAACTTGTATGCCAATGGCTGCCACTTTCTCTGACCCTTAGGGCCATTCTCCTAACACAATAATTTATCAGTAATAATTTATCACTAATAATTATCAGTAATAATTTATCAATAATTTTTTGAGTTCTCAATTATATATCAGTATCTATATTTAATAGAGATATACATTTATATAGAGAATTGATATATAAATATATGTATCAATTATGTATCTAGATCTAGATAGATGTATAATAAAGATATAACTCTATTTCTATTTTATACAGTTAAGTAGAATAAATATTGGTATTTGGGGGGAAAAGCAAGGAATGAAACTATAATGTTAGAAGATGCACAGGCACAATTTATAACCAGATGTAAAAAAGACATTTTCCAAAAGGCAAAGCTAATCAAAGACAAAAATGAACTACTTTGAAAAGTTTAATGATCCCTATTTCTTGAAATATTCAAGTACAGATAAGAAACAATTAAGAGAAATATTTTTAAATGATTTCTGTTAAAATTATCTGAAGGATTCTATTATTCTAGACATGACATTTGTTTTTATAATGTATCATGGGTTCTTAATCGTGCTACCAATAAAGTCACACACTTATCTTTTTCTCTAATCAACAAAAATACATTTCCAATGTCCACATACATTTTTAACTTCTTTTTATCCCAATTCTGATTTGTTTCCCTCTTATCCTCTCTTTATAAACCCTGCAAACATTTTGTTATTTCCTATTGCAAACATGATGCATATGGTAACTATTCTCTTTAGGATTCAATATCTGAGAAAATGTATTAATAAAAATATAGCAGTATGATAAAGTTTTGATAATTATAAAATTAATTCTTAAACATATTTATCACCTGGAGTAGATTTCTGTTATTTTTCCCCTAATACTTCAGCCTGATAAAAAAACTGAGTCATTCTTTAGATTTTATTACCTGATACTTTTCCACAATATTTTTACTCATAATAGATTTTATTCACACAGTCAACTTTCTTTTATCCTGGATTGGGTTCCAGATTAGGCTGAGGGAAGAAGTTTTGTTCAAATTGTTTAACAAAGAAAAACTATAAAATTGTCATAAAGTAAATACAAAGTTTTAGAGGTTTGAAATATAAGGTATGCTTTCTTAGAAATTATTAGGTCTTTTCAGAGACCATATTCAATAATGTTCAAAACCCCAGAATTCTTACCTTTTGTATGTTTCCTAATGAATTACTATCCAATGATTAAGAAATAGACCTCATAGAACATGATGTAAAAATATTAAAGTTACTAAAAGAAAACCAGAAGATATGTATATGTGCCTCATTATCAATGATTTCTTGAACAATTCTTTATCTTAAAACATTATCCTACTCCTTTCATTTTTTAAAGATAATGACCTAAGTCTTAGCAAGTTATTTCTTCATGATTTGACAAAGATATATGTTGCAAAGAGAATTGAAATAATGTGATTTCTTTTCTCAGAATTCCTTTCATATTTTTCATGGACTCTCACTTTTTAAAAAGGTCAAACTTTATATAAAAATAATGCATGTAGCTACAAAACTTGCATATAAGTTTGGGATGTTTATTTTGGTTAATACCTTTTTCTCTGGAAGCAAACTTTTCTGTATAGTTAATGAAGAAACATTAGAAAACATTAGTGTGTAAACCCACAGAGTAATGGTTTTGTATTTTTGCTATCTCTTGGGAAATTGAGCCCTGTTAGAAATGTATTAATGGTGTTTTATCCTCTTAGCCATTCTCCCTTACCCCATTTTCTCAAAATTGGTTATTTTCACTTGGACCCCATTTTTGTCACTCATGTGGTCTCATCAGGTTTCAAGTACCATTATAAAATAACTGTCAGCTTTTTTATAAAAATAACTTAAATTCCTCTAACCTAAAGTACCAAAGTTCAATAATAAGTTACTTAGCTGTCATGCCTATGTGACAATGTTAGACATGAAACGTATTTTATGTAATATACATTTCATGTCCCCTAGTACTAGAAAAACCTACATCATCAAAGTTGTACAGAAAGCTACATCAAAACAAAAGAAAAAAAAACAAAAAACTTGAAAATCAAAAAAAAAAAAAAAAAAAAAAAAAATTATGTTTTCCTCATGGTATAAAAATAGCAAACAAAAATATTAAAAAAACACACAAAAAGAGGTATATATGTATATGCACATATAGACACAGTTAGAGTGAAAAATAACACCCCCAAAACACATATACAAAAAAAAAACTCATATGCTCACAGGGAAAAAAAACAACACAGAACAAGAACAGAGGCTCTTTTTTTTCCTCCTATTACACCATATAAGAAAAAACAACGAGACAAAAAAACCACCCTGGTGCAATAATATCTGCTGCACCAATAACTGATCAGCTGCTGATGATGAAGAAAAAACAAACATAAATAACCAGCAAGCATGCATAGAAATAATCAAACAAAGATCAGTAAATATAACAAACAAGGAAAGAAAAAACAAATAAAAACAAGCATGCCTGTCAAGCAGGTTTGTTGTTTTCTTAGTAATTTCTGTATAGAGTCTCATTCTGAAGCCCAGGCTAGAGTGTAATGGCATCTTCATACCTCACTGCAACCTCAAACTCCTGAGCTCAAGCCATCTTCTTGCCTTGCCCTCCCGAGTAGCTGGAACTACAGGCACATCCCATGACACCTGGCTAAGTTTTCCATTTTTAGTAGAGACAGGGTCTTGCTCTTGCTCTTGCTCAAGCTGGTCTTGAATTCCTGGTCTCAAGAAATTCTCCCACTTTGGCCTGCAAAGTGCTAGGATTATAGGTGAGAGCCACTACTTTTTAATAAAAATATCATTTCATGAAAGTAAAACAAAATAAAATATATTTTATATTTTCTTTCAATGAAAAGATAAGTTCTATATTATGAATATTTAATAAATATTTCTGTGTATTATAACTTCCATTTTAGTCTAAATCTATCACATATTTTATTTGACATTACTATAATAAAAGTATAGAAACATAATATTAAAACCTATAATTTTATTTTTCAAATTAAGTATAAGGTTTTCAAGTTTGGTATTCTGATGACTATCCTTCAAATTTCTTAGAATTGTTAATATTAATATGTATTTTTCATTGTAAATAATTAAGTTTACTGCACTTGTAGTAGTTTATATTACTATGGATTAAAATTTCACATGCAATGTAGGATTGACTTTGGTCTATGTGATTTACCATTTGTTAAAAATATTTGTTTTTACTTTATTAATGAGTTTTAACACTATATAATTTAACTTTTGGGGAGTGTATAAGTGTTCTCTTTTCACTGCACTCATGCCAACATCTATTTTTTTTTGACATTTTAATAATGGCCATTCTGATTGGAGTAAGATGGTATATAAAAATGCTGCTATTTTTTTGAATGTTGATTTTATAACCTGATACTTTGTTACATTCATTTGTCAAATCTAGATGTCATTTGAAGGAATATTTAGGGTTTTCTAGGTATAAGATCATATCATCAGTAAAAAGAAATAATTTGACTTCCTCTTTTCTAATTCAGATGCCTTTATTTCTTTCCTTTGCCTGATTGCTGTGTCTAGGAGCCTTTCAAGTTAGTATTTTAGTCTTCCATCTTTCCCAGATCCAGAATTGAGCAAATATACTGAGGGGGATCATCTGAATACTCTAAGTCTCTGAGTAGCCAACAAAACTTTACTGGTTTCTTTATCTATGAGAAATAGCTCTCTAGAGATGCAAAGATGTCTGTGCCCAGGACTGTCAAATATCCTGATTCAAATCATCTGCACATCTTGATTCTCCACGTTTAGGTTCTCTCCTCATCAGAGTTTTATACCCTTCCATTCTCATTTTCATAGTATCTCTCTGTTGCCCTCAAATGACATTTCCATTTTTCTAGCAGTCTTTGTTGTTCTGCCTTGCTAGTAGCTGTTAGCCTCTCATCTGGAAGTAATTCATTTTGATCTTTGAAAACTGGATGTTCAAAGGAATGCATTTCTTCATAGTTTTATTTCCACTTTTATTATTAAAATATAGGTTCCATACCTCAATAAATTTAACAATTTTTATGTTTCTTAATTTCTGTAAAACATCATTTGTATCCCTCACATATCATTTGGGCTCTTCATCAAATGATTTGTGATCTCTTTTTATCCATCTAGCTATTACCTATAAAATTACCTTATTTGGCCCGTTTTTAGGTTGATAGTATCTCACACTTTAACCATTTATTTCAGCTGTATTTTTTATTTTTTTCACCACATAAATTTTTCTAAATTGTGTAGTCAAAATTTGCATTTATGTCTTATAAGGTTTATGTTATAATTATAAAATAGTATTCCCATCCCCATCATTTATGCTAAGGTTTTAAGTTTTTTATCAGTTGCGTTTAACTTTTTAAGTCATCTAAAGTTTATTTTGATATAGAGTTAAGATTGATATAAAGTATTTTTTCTAAGTCAGTTTATTGTTATTCCAAATAACTTAATGAATATTCCATCTCCTCACTGAATCCTTGAATACCATCCTTAGCGTGTTTTAACATGTTAAACTTTTTTAAACTTCCTGCATTTTACTCTATTTCTAGATTTTGCAATTTCTTTCATTGAACTCTATCTTTCATAGTTTATAAAATCCAAATATTTGGAAAATTTAGTAGATCTAAAAGGAGCATCATAAGGAATGGGCAAATGCTGATAAGCCAAGAAAAGTACTTTACCAAGAAAAAGGTATAACATATGTTTTTATAGTAGAGGTAGTAGTCATTCTAAGGTTATCAATCTAATCCATTCATTTTTTTCTCATTGTTTCAAGAACATTTAAGATCAAAATTTTAAGTGTGCAATGTAGTATTGTCAACTATAGACATAAGGTACAGCAGATCTCTAGAACTAATATATCTTTTTTAACTGAATTTTTGTGTATATTGAGCAGCAACTCATGATTTCTCCCTTCCACAGCTCCTGGAAACCACCATTCTACTCTCTGTTTATGTAAGTTTGACTATTTTAATACCTTATATAACTGGGATCATGCAGTGTTTGTCCTCCTGTGACTGACCAATTTAGCTCAATGTCCTCTAGGTTCACTCATATTGTCACACATGGAGAGAGTGTCTTCTCTTTTAAGTCTGAACAGTTATTCCATTGAATGTATACATCACAGTTTTTTTAAATCCATTTGTTTGTTGATGGACATTCAAGTGTTTTTTTCACATTGTGACTATCATTACTAACACTGTAGTGAACATGGAAGAACACAATTTATTTGAGATCTTGAATTTGATTATTTTTTATATGTATACCTAGAAATGGAATTGTTGAACCATTATGGTAATTTCCATTATTAATTTTGAGGGGAAAACCTCCATTATGTTTTCCCTAGTGGCTTTACCATTTCTCCACATCTTTGTCAACATATATCTATTTTAAATAATAATAATAACAGTGGTGAAATTATACTGTGACACTGAATTCCATGATCCTGATAATTAGTGATGTTGGGTATCTTTTCATATACCTGGACCATTTGTATGTGTTCTTTAGAAAAATGTTTATTCAAGTCTTTGTCCATTTTTAAGTAATTTCTTTTTGTTTGGTTTTTTGTTTGTTGCTATTGAGTTGTAGGAGTTATTAATATAGTTTGAATATTAACTACTTGTCAGATATGTGGGTTGCAAATGTTTTCTTCCCATTCCACACATTGGCTTTTTAGTCTGTTGATTGTTTTTGTTTTTTTTCAGTTTGATGTAGTCCTACTGACCTATTTTTGCTTTTGTTTATTGTACTTTTGGTGGCATACCCAAGAAATCATTGCCAAGAGCAATATCATGAAGTTTTTGTCCTGTCTTTTACAAGTTTCAGGTATTATAATTAATTTTTTAATACATGTTGAATTAATTTTTGTGTACATGTAAGATAAGGATCCAATTCATACATAAATATCCAGATTTTCTGATGTCATCTTGCAGAGACTAACTTTTCCCCATTGTATACTATGGCAACCTTGTTGAAGAAGAGTTAACATTATATGCATGGGGTTGGTGGCAAATTTATGGAATTTAAACAAGATACCCAACATCACTAATTATCAGGATCATGGAATTCAGTGTCACAGTATAATTTCACCACTGTTATTACTATTATTATTATTATTTAAAATAGATATATGTTGACAAAGATGCGGAGAAATGGTAAAGCCACTAGGAAAAACATAATGGAGGTTTTCCCCTCAAAATTAAAAATGGAAATTACCATAATGGTTTAACAATTCCATTTCTAGGTATACATATAAAAAATAATCAAATTCAAGATCTCAAATAAATATGTGTTCTTCCATGTTCACTACAGTGTTAGTAATGATAGTCACAATGTGAAAAAGGGATAAGATAACCAATGAAACAAAGAGGAAACAAAAAGGGAAATTAGAAAGTATCTCAAGGCAAACAAAAAGAAAACAAAACATACCAAAACATAAGTAATGCAGAAAAATCAATACAAAGAGGGAAGTTTATACAGATCAGAAAGCAAAAAGAATTCAAATAATTTAACCTAATTTTACATCTAAAAGAAATAGAAAAAGATGAATAAATGCAGCCCCAAATTAACAAAAGAAAAATAAGAATAATTAGCACAGAAATAAGTGAAATAGAAAATATAGAAAAAATCAAAACTAAGAGATGATATTTTTGAAAACATAAAAGCATAAAAAAATAAACATTTTGCTAGACTAAGAAAAAAAAGGAAAGACTAAAATAAAATCGAAGTAAACATTACAACTAATACCAAACAAACAAAAAGGATCAGAAGGAACTACTATGAACCAACTGGATAACCTAGAAGAAACGATACGTTCCTGGAAACATACTACCTGCCAATACAATCATGAAGAAATAGATACTACAATTGTTATAGTAACCCAAACAGCATGGGACTGGTATGAAAGTAGAGACATAGACCAATGGAACAGAATAAAGAACCCAGATGTAAAACAATTTACATATAATCAACTGGTCTCCAACAGAGTGGATACAACATACACTGGAGAAAGGAAGTTCTAGTCAATAAATGGTGCTGAGAAAATTGGATGGCCACATGCAGAAAAATGAAACAGGACCCCTATCTCTTACCATATACAAAAGTTAATTACAGATGTATAAAAGACTTAACTGTAAGGCATGAAACCTTAAAAATTCTATAAGAAAATGTAGACAACTTTTACTTATTGCTGGTGAAAATGCAAAATGGTACAGCCACTTTGGAAGACAGTTTGATGGTTTCTTATAAACAAAACATACTGTTATCCTATAGTCCTGCAGTCACATTCCTTGGTTTTACCCCCAAAAGTTGAAAACACATGTCCACAGAAAAACCTGCAGATATTTATAGTAGCTTTATATATAATTGCCAAAACTTGGAATCAACCAAGATACACTTCAGTAGGTGAGGAATAAATAAACTGTGGTACACTCAAACAATGAAATACTTTTCAGCATGAAAAAGACATGAGCTATCAAGTTGCAAAAATACATGGAAGAAACTTAAATGCATATGACTAAGTGAATGAAACCATTCTGTAAAGGCTATATACTGTAGGATCCCAACTTTATGATATTGTTGAAAAGTCAAAACTATGGAGATAGTAAATATTGTTGGTTGCCAGGAATTGGAGTGAGGGAAGGATGAATAGGTGGAGTGGAGTGAATCTTTAGGGCAGGGAAACTATTCTGCATGCTATAAAAGGGAGTAAAAATATTATAAATTTGCCCAAACCCATAGGAAGTACAATACCTAGAATGAACCCATTGTAAGCTATCAACTTTGGTTGGCATGATGTGTCAAAGTAGATTCATCAATTGTCACAAATGTGCCACTCTGATGGGAGAGGTTCTTGGTGACCTTGGTGCATTTCAGTAGAATAAAGACAGTTTAGTTGTTTTGTCACTATACATTAAGTTCGAATCCAAAAGTTGACTTTTGAATCCTATGGGTGAAAATAATTTAAGGGCCTTTTCTCAGAGGAAAAAGAAGATTTAAAATGATCCCCTGAATCCTCAGAGAGAGGATAACATTTCCAGAAAAGTTTAACAGACGGAAAAAAAATTTTTACTATAGTAAAAGGGGAAGTCAGCGAGGTTTCTGGAGGGAGGAGAGAACAGAGGGACAGGATTTGACTCTCTTTGCCTTTATAGTTGATCCAGATTAACAAAGTGAGATTGCCTGGCAGGCTGTGAGTTACAACAACCATTGGTTCTTAGTAGCTGATACAAGAGGAACAGGAGCCAATGTTGAATGACAAGTCAAAGCAATTATACCTTCCTGTTCCTAAAAAGTTAGCTTTTGAGAATATGATGAATACAAGACCCTTTTTTTTAATGTCAAGGAGGAGCTTTATCTTGCATCTAGAGTTTATACCAAGAAAAATAAAGGGGAGAGAAAATCACTTAGCAAATTCTGAAACAACATTGAGTTTATTTAAGAGAGAATGATTTATATCAGAAATGAATTAATTGCCAATAATTGTTCTAAAAGTTTAAGGGTTTTGCATTTAACATAATACTGTTTTTTTTTTAATTTTTTCACACCTTAATAGGACTTGTGGGTCACAACAGAGTTTAATATGGTTATAAAAATAGAAAGTTCTTTGCACATCTAAATAATATTATGTAGATATTATTACTTAAATATATCTTAAATTCTGGTTAATTTATTAATAGTTTTATATAAGTATTTAGCAATTTATCAAGTAGCTCTTTCATACGCTTCTACTAAACTTGTTCTTGTTGGTAATTTGGAAAATTTTGATTTTCATCCTTCTTTCAAGGGAAAGAAGCTGGCTACTATTTTCCATTAAAAAACTTTATATAATGAATTATTAGCATTTTCATATATCATAAACCAGTCACCTCTCCCTCACAATAGGTAGTTCTACTTCCCTTAACCTTTACCTGGACACTTTTTAAAGCTTCATTTATTTGATGGTTTCTCCATGTTCTTCAAATATTTCTTAGAGTGAGAAAGCCCAAACTTGATAAAATTCTAGTAGAAACCTAATAGGAAAGTTACAGAGATAAAAACAGTATCAATTTACATTTTTAATTTCATTCAATTATCATTACTATTCCAAATTTATTTTCTTAATTGACAGATAAAATTGTATTTATTGTGTACAACCAGATGCTTTCAAGTATATATACATTGTGAAATGGTTAAATCCAGCTAATTAACAGATGCATCACATCACATGGTCATCATTTTTCTGGGGAGCACACTTAACATCCACTCTCTGAGTGATTTTCAAAAATACAATATATCAGGAACTACAGTCACCATGCTGTGAAAAACAAACAAAAAAACCCTCTTGAACTTATTCCTGCTAACTAACCATAATTTGGTTCAATTATTTTTAAGTTCAATTTGGCTTAAAATAATACAAAACTAACTTACCCACTGTGCTTATCTTGGCTTGGAAGTGGAACATTCAACAACCATAAACATGATTGTGGTTGTTTAATCTTCAGAGAGGATGGTGTAAGCTCACAGGGAAGTCATATTTTCTTTGTTTTTCTTTTCTTTTTCTTTCTTTTTTTTTTTTTCCCTGAGAAAAGCTATCTTTAACTTATATTTAATTGAAAGTAAACTTTTGGAAAGTTCTTTAACTTCCTTTTGTGACTCCTGTAATTCCTTATTTAAATCTATGAATACAGCTTGAGATTATTTGAATCATACATACATCATCGGCCTCCTTGGATTCTTTTAAGCCTTTATTGAACAGTTTTCTGTTTTTGTTTTTGTATTCAGTGTCATTATCTTCTATGTCCTTATTTGAAGATACTTCTTTGAATCTTTTTAGGAATCTTTGGTTGAATTTTTCATACTTCCAACTTTAGCATAAGTATTCTTTAATTCCTTCAATGGCTCCTCCCTTGATTTTTCTTAACATCTTTCTTACATTTTTACACATCTTTTCCAAGTCCCTTGTATTCTTCTTTGCCCTCCTTTAAAAAGTACTTGATTAATTGTTTGAAACTGCATTTTTACTCATAGATTCAGCTTCAGGCTACTAAAATTGGTTTGTCAAATATGTTTTTTTTTCAATTTTTCTTTCAGTTTAAACTAGGATGCAAGGCCTACTTGGCCTTCTTTATACTCTTCTTTGTGTTCTTCTTTGCATCACCCTTTGAGTCAGCAGATTCTGTGTCAGTATCTTTCTTGACATCTTTCTTGGCATCTTTCTTAGAATCTTTCTTGTCATCTTTTTTGGCATCTTTCTTGTCATCTTTCTTGTCATCTTTCTTGGCATCTTTCTTGTCATCTTTCTTGTCATCTTTCTTGGCATCTTTCTTGTCATCTTTCTTGGCATCCTTCTTGGCTTCATCCTTTATTTCACCACCAGGCTTCTTTTCATCTTTTTTACTCCCCTTCTTTGAATCTTTCTTTGCATCTTTCTTGGCATCCTTTGCTTCATCACCTTTCTTTGCATCTTTACCCTTCTTTTCACCTTCTGAATCGGAAGTTGTATCTTTGCCCGTCTTTGAATCCTTCTTACCTTTTTTGCTATCCTTCTTTGCACCTGGTTTTTCACCTTCAGATTCTGAAGCTGAATCCTTGCCCTTCACACTTTTTTTATCTTTTTTGCTATCCTTCTTTGCACCTGGTTTTTCACCTTCAGATTCTGAAGCTGAACCCTTGCCCTTCACACTTTTTTTATCTTTTTTGCTATCCTTCTTTGCACCTGGTTTTTCACCTTCAGATTCTGAAGCTGAATCCTTGCCCTTCACACCTTTTTTATCTTTTTTGCTATCCTTCTTTGCACCTGGTTTTTCACCTTCAGATTCTGAAGCTGAATCCTTGCCCTTGCCTTTTGCATCTGGTTTTCCATCTTTAGGTCCTTTATCCTTACCCTTATCTGTCTTTAAATCTTTCTTATCTTTTTTTGCTTCTGATTCTGAATCTGATGTGTCCTCTGCTTTCTTGTCTCCTTTAACTTTCTTACTCAATCTTGGGGATAAAGTTTTCTCTGAAGGTGCTCCTTTAGCATCTCCCTTAGAGGATGGAACTGGTTTTTGTGGTGGCTTCCTCCTGGCAGCTAAATAAACAGATGGTCTCTCAGAAATTCTCATTAAAGAACGGTACATCCATAATGGTCTCTTGCGACCTTTTAATTGTTCTTCATCAATTTTCTGAAATAATGGTTAGAATAATAATGAGCAATTTGTGGGTGAGTTACACAGTTTTTATTAATAGATACCAAATATATTTTAACTTCAACCATAAAAAGATTTTATATTTTGCTCAAAAATGGATAAAGTATAGATTTCATAGTTTATTATGCTTTACAAAATTTCATCTTTCTTTAAACTAATGGAAAATCATGCCTTATTTGGGGCCTACTTTAAATTTAGGGGATTTTTATATTATCCTTGAGATTTTACATTAAGTTGGTATAGACCACCATTGATTCATTGCATGTCAGAACCTCTCTTTATAGTCAGAAGAGTTTTTTTTTCTTCTGACTTGGTGTTCTTGAGAATTCTTAGAATATCATGCACACCTCCATTTCTAGGCTAACTAGCTATTCTCTAATATCTAAGTTTCAGTTAAGGCATAATTTTGTGTCTATTGCTATTTTCAAAGTCTCCGGAAGGTAGAATGCTACCTGTGGTTAAAGATAAAAGCTTGAAACTGCTCTTGCTTGGCAGAATATAAATTGAATATCATCATAGCTAATTGAAATAATAAAATGTGTAACAGTGCATGCTAATTTGAGAGAAATGATATGTTATGTTTCACCTCCTAATTTAACATTTGCAAAAACTAAATGGCAATAATAGCTCATTTTAGTTGAAATGTTAACAAATAATGGAGAAATAAATTCAGTAAAGAAAAAAAAAAAGGAATAGAAAAGAACTTTGATCATTACTGATGGGATACATTTCCTAAAACAAACAAGAGCTGATGATACATTCATTTTGTGGAAACATTTCTTTGAATATTTGCATATCCCATATTGACTTCAGAAACATTGGAAAATATTTATCTGCCAATACTTATAATCATGAATTCTGTTTTACAGGAACTGAGGAAAAATTGAAACTTCATCAAAGTATAATGTATTCCTATGACTCTAATAAGGGGCTTTCTCCAGCTGGTGAAGAGTTGCTGAAGTTTTATACTAACTGTAAAATTAGGGTCTCCAGATTTCTGTGCTTCCTGGACATATTTTTTTTTAAATAATGTGAGGTTACTTAACAATATAAAACAAGGAAGCAAATAAAATATTTCTATTTTTTCCAAGTAGTAGAATTTGAATTATCTTTAACTATGCTGCCAATATGGCACTTAACAGCCACAGATTAAGTTTACTGTACTTTAATTTAATTTAAATGTAAAATTTATTTCCTCAGTCACACTAGCTTCAATTCAAATGTTCAATAGCCACATTACACTAGAAAGGTAGAAAATATTCTCGTCTCTACAGAAATTGTGTTGGTGAGCTCTGATCTATAACACATATAACTATACACATATAACTAATTCTTACTAAGTAATTAATAATTACTTATTACTAACATTTATATGATTTTTTTCAATACTTACAGTAGCTGCATTGTCCCGTATTTGAGAAGGTTTTGATCTCCTTTTTGTTCCTGGCCGTTGTGGTTTGGGAAAAACCAGGGCAAAGTGTTGCTGATTCCATGATTTTTTGCTTAATTCACTGACTAAAATAAGAAAGATAAAACATACACTTTGGCATAAATAGTTAGAATTTAATCAGAAGTGAAAAGGCAATAAGTATATATCATACAAATGAACAAATAAGTAACTAAAATTATGGTTTCACGTATTTGGTAATATTTGAAAATTTATGTTATTAAATATCAATATAAGCAAATAAAATTGATTTTTCTATTCTGATCAGTTGTGCAGATAACTATATGAAATATTCATTGCAAAATGAATATAGTCTATAATATAAATAAAAGGAAATAGTTTTACTACTTCGTTTTGCATCTATCTCTTCCAACCTAGGTTTTTGCTTTATTCTTTTAGTTAGCATACAATTCTACTGAGAACAAAAATATGTTAACCCCTTCTGTAGCCCCCAGAGTACTGAGCACAATGTCTGGCATAAAATATTCACAAATATATGATTGAATCTAAGTGCTAAGGCTTCAGATCTCCTTAGTTTGTAATCATTTTCCTAGCTACAAGAGTAGATGCACACAAGAACTGTATTGATATAGGATATATATATATATATACTGGCAAATAAAAAGTCTATAGAAAGGTGACTGAGAGGATAAATTTACCTGAAGCTATAATAGAAATAATTAAAATATTTAAGTCATTAGACCAATGGGAGAGTTCATTACTGTATTTAAATATTTGTAATATTACTGTGTGGAGAAAATAGACTTTTCTTGTTAGTTTCCTAAAGACAGTATCAGGATCAATAGAAAATAATATACAGAAAGAAAGTCATATCTAAGCTCAATGTATGAGAGAAAACCACATATTTGAAGTCCCTGAAAATCATATAAATCTGCCTTGGTTAGCAATGAAATTTTTGGCCAATTATAAGCCAGATACAATCTATCAGGGATGTAGTAGAAGAAATAGCTGACACAGATGAGAAATTGTTTATTTAATTTCTACATTGCCATATATGGCTTTTATCATTGTGAGGCAAGTCCCTTCTATGCCTACTTTGTAAAGCATTCTTATCATAAAAGGGTGCAGAATTTTGTCAAATGCTTTCTCTGCGTCTATTGAGAGGATCATATGGTCTTTGTGTTTATTTCTATTTATGTGATGAATTAAATTTATAGATTTGCCTATGTTGAACCATTTCTGGGATGAAGCCCACTTGATCATGATGAAAAATATTTTGATGAGCAGCTGGATTTTGGTGAGATTTTTTGCATCTATATTCACAAGGAATATTGGTCTGTTGTTTTCTTTTATTTTTTTCCTTTTCCTGGCTTTGGTATTAGGGTGATATTGGCTTTGTAAACCATGTTGGGAGGATTCCTTCCCTCTTGATATTGTAGAATAATTTGTGTAGGATGGGCACCTAAAAAAGTTCTTCTTTGTAGATGTCATAGAATTCAGGTGTGAAACCATTGAGTCTGGGACTTTTTTTTTTTAGGAAGGTTTTTTTTATTACCACTTAAATTTGGGTAATTGATATTGATCAGTTCAGGAATTCTATATCTTCGTGATTGAGGTGAGTGAGTCTGTATGTTTCAAAGAATTTGTTCATTTTCTCCATATTTTCAAGTTTATGTGCATAGAGATTTTTATAGTATTCAGAGATGATATTTTATATTTATGTGATATCAGTTGTAATTTCTCCTTTTTCACTCCTAATTGAGCTTATTAGAGTCCTTTATTTTCTGCTTCTCATTAAGAAGCATCTCAATTTGCTTATTTTTTCAAAGAACCAACTTTTTGTTTTATTAATCTTCCTTATAGTTCTTTGATTATCAATTTAATTTAGTTCTGCTCTGGTCTTTGTTACTTGTTTTCTTCTGCTGGGCTTGGGATTGGTTTGCTCATCCTTTTCCAGATCTTTAAGATGATTCATTAGATTGTTGATTTGTTATCTTTCTGTCTTTTGGATGTAGGCAGTTATCACTATGAATTTTTCTCTCAGGAATGCTTTAGCTGTATCCCACAGATTTTGATAACTTGTATCCCCTTTTTTATTTAGTTCAAAGAATCTTTCGATTTCCATCTTAATTGCCACTTTGACCTAGTATTCAGCAGTAGCTTGTTTAATTTCCATAACTTTGAGTAGATATGAGTGTTTCTGTTGGAGTTGATTTCTAATTTTATTCAACTGTGGTCTGAGGAGATGCCTGATATTTCCATTTTTGTAAATTTCTTGAGAAATGTCTTGTGGCCTAGGATGTGATCAATCCTAAAGAATGTCCTGTAAGCTAATGAGAAGAATGTGTTTTGGTGGTTTTAGGGTAGAATGTTCTGTAAATGTCGGTAAATATATATATATATACTATATATATAATATATTATTAGATTATATATATCATAATAATAACCACAGCCAATATCATACTGAATGGGAAAAAATTGGAAGGATTATCACTCAGAACTAGTACCAGACAAGGTTGCCTGCTATCATCACTTCTATTCAACATAGTGCTGGAAGTCCCAGGGCAGTTAGAAAAGAGAAGGAAATCAAGGGCATCCAAACGGGGCAGAAAAGGTCAAACTACCATTCTTTGCAGACCTTATATCTAGAAAACCCCAAAGATTCTGCCAAGAGACTATTGGAATTGATAAATAAGTTCAGCAAAGTCTCAGGTACAAAAGCAATTACACAAATCAATAGCATTTTTGTACACCAAGAACAGTGAAACTGAGAACCAAATCAAAGATTCAATACCTTTTGCAATAGCAACAAAGGAAATAAAAATACCCAAGAATACATTTACCTTAAGACATGAAGGACCTCCACAGGAAGATCTATGAAACACTCAAGAAGGAAATACCAGAGGATGAAAACAGATGGGAAACCATACCATGCTCATGGATTGATGGAATCAACATTGTTAAAATGTCTATGCTACCCAAAATGATCTATAGATTCAATGCAATCCCTATTAAATAAAAACATCATTTTTCACATGTCTAGAAAAAATAATCCTACACTTTGTATGGAACCACAAAAGACCCCATTTAGCAAAAGCACTCTTAAGCAAAAAGAACAAATTGGGAAGCATCAATTGACCAGACTGCAAATGTACATGCTGTATCTAAAACAGCATGTTACAGGCACAAGAATAGAGACTTAGACCAATAAACAGGACTGAGAACCCAGTCATAAAACCATCATGATATAACCATCTGATTTTTGACAAAGTGGACAAAAACATACAATGGGGAAAAAGAATCCCTATTTAATAAATGGTTCTGGGAAAATTAGATAGCCACACAAAGAAGACTAAAACAGGATCCACACCTCTCACTTCTCACAAGAATCAACACACAATGGATAATAGACTTAAACTTAAGGCATGATACCATAATATTTCTAGAAGAAAATTTTGGAAAAACTGTCATAGAAATTGGCCTAGGCCAAGAATTGATGAAGAAGTCCACAAAAGCAATTCCACCATCAACAAAAATAAGTAAATGGCAACTGATTAAATTAAAAAGCTTCTGCACAGCAAAAGGAAACTATCACTTGAGCTAATAGACAACCTACAAAGGGAAGAAAATATCTACATGCTATGCATCTGACAAAGGGCTAATAACTAGAATTTATGTAGACCTCAGAAAAATCAGCAAGAAAAAAATCCAACAACCAAATTAAAAATTGGCTAAAGGACATGAAGAGAAACTTTCCAAAGGAAGATAGACTAATGGCCAACAAACATGAAAAAAATGCTCAGCATCTCCAGTTATCAGGGAAATGCCAATCAAAACCACTCTGAGATACCACTTAACTCCAGTGAGAATGGCTTTTATCAAAAAGTCCCAAAACAATAAATATTGGCATGGATATAGAGAGATAGGAACACTAACACACCCCTGGTAGGATTGCAAACTAGTACAATCTCTGTGGAAAACAATATGGAGATATATTAAAGAGCTAAAAGTAGAGAGAGGATCAAGATGGCAGACAAGAAATACCGCCAGACAGAGTGTCTCTGCAGAAAAGAAAGATTCTAGCAGAAATTAGAAAAAAGAAGCAAGAAGGGAGCAACAGCGACGGGATGGAAGGAGGGGTACCTGAGACCCGGGAGACTCCACGGGAGGAGGCTCGAAGGAGAACTGGAAGTGAGACTGCCGGAGCAGCCTGGAGACCAGCGGCAGGTAGGTGGTAAATCAGCTTTCTCCCCTGCATTTGGGAACTGCTGGTGGGCTCCAGCAGGTGGAGAGACCTGCGGACTCCAGCACAGAGACAGCCGCCGCCAGCTAGCGGTAAGCCTATAGCGGACGTGGCACCAGACTCCCAAATCCCTTGGGGCACCTCCGTGTGCACAGACCCGAGCCTTATTGCCTCCTTCTCCCCTCCACACCTACCTGCCAGCTGCCCAGAGAGACAATCAGCAGCCAAGCTGAGGCATCCAGGGAATGGACCTTCTTTTGACTACAGCTGACTAAGGGGAACTCAGACTGTGAGCTTCGCCGACTTCAGAAGGCCTGAGAGACACAGACACAGCTTGGGCTCCCTGTGGGTGAATTGGGACCAGAACTCCTCTCCCTGGTGGGGATACAGTTTGAACTCTGGGACCCAGAGGTCGGACCTGCAGACCAGATCCCGTGCACCGAGGTCTAGCATTGCCCAGGGCACAGAAGGGATATTCATGAACAGCCTACTGAGGTGTGTGTGCGCAGGGGAGCAGCAATCCTAGAGGGCAACTCCCCCCAAAGTAGGCCGTGTGCCCAGCCAGGTGGCGTTCCTGTGCAGGGAACCTCCCGCCAGCATCACAATCCGGGGAGGCCTGGTGTGTGTGGTTGCTGCCTGCTGGCAGAGGCAGGAGTAGCTGCGGAGTTTGGGGAGGTGAACAAAGCCACGCTCCAGACTGCCGTGTCAGCACAGCCCAACCCCACCAAGCAGATTTCTGGCTGAGCAGGAACCATTAGCCACCCTGACAGCTTTTCCTGGAAGAAGAGAACAGAAATTTGACCCTGCTAAGGCATTGGTGGTGCCTGAGGGCAGGTTTATCCAATCCAGCTCTGCCCAGAACAAGAGCTGTAACAGGACACAAAAACAACAGCATAGCCTGTTCCTCAAGCAAGCGCCACCTACTGACAGGGACGGCATATCATCACAGCCTTCTTACGTACCACTGACTCATTATACAGGATGGTCGAATCTCACCCACAGACACCACTAACGGTAAGAACTAACAAGTGTGTGAATACCAAACAAAAACCTAAAGGAAAGAAACAACATCTGATCAACATGGAAGAAATCAGCGATGGAACTCAGGAAATATGAGAACACAAACAGAAAACACACCAAAAGAGGAGCACAGCCCCCTAGAAACGGACACCAACCCAAATCAGGCAACCAAAATGACAGAAGAGGAATTTCGTATGTGGATCATAAGAACACTCACCGAACTGCAAACACAACTCAATAACAACAACAAGAAACCACAAAAAGCTCCAGGACCTAGAACAAAAGTTCACTAAAGAAATAGACACAATGAAGAAAAGTTTAACCGAACTCCTAGAAATGAAGAATCAATTCAGGGAACTACAAAATACAGTGGAAAGTCTCAAGAACAGGGTAGATCAAACAGAGAAAGAATCTCAGAGATTGAAGATAACACCCTCCACTAAATAACCATCACAGAGATAGAGCAGAGAAACAAGAGAAAAAGCAAAGCTACAAGAGATGTGGATTATGAAGAACTAATGTGAGGGTCATAGGGTTACCAGCCTATGAGAATGGCTCCCTTGGAAATAAAAGTTGATTATTAATTCTATTCCATCGCTGTTTTGCTTTCTTCTCTCTGAAGGGGAAGAAGACAACACTCAAAGGTTGGACAAGCTATTTGAAGATATAATAGAGGAAAATTTCCCAGGCCTTGCTCAAAATCTCAATATACAAGTTCAAGAAGGGTCAGAGGACCCCTGTGAGATTCAATGCAAACAGGAAGACGTCACGACATGCAGTCATCAGACTGACCAAAATATCAACTAAAGAGGCCCTTCTAAGAGCTGTAAGATGAAAGAAGCAAGTGACATACAAGGGAAAGCCAATTTGAATAACACTAGACTTCTCTAATGAGATTTACAAGCAAGGGACTGGGGATTCTCACTCTTTGAAACAAAACAATGCCCAGCCTAGAATCTTTTCCTGCAAAACTAAGCTTCATATATGAAGGAGAATAAAGACATTCTCAGACAAGCAAATCTCAGAGAGATTCACCAAGACAAGACCAGCCCTACAAGAAATACTAAAACGTGCTACGCACAGACCCGTAATAAACTCATAGAATATAAAAAAACCCAAAGATTAAGGCCAGATATACAATGGCTCAAGAGAGAAATAAAACAACACATCTACACAGAATGAACAGTAATCTACCTTACCTGTCAGTTTTCTCAATAAATGTGACTGGCTTAAACTCTCCACCCAAGAGACAAAGGCTGGCTGAATGGATAAGAAATACAGGCCAAGTATATGCTGTCTTCAGGAAACATCTAACCTGCAAGGATGCATATAGACTAAAAGTAAAAGGGTGGAGATCAGTATTCCAGGCAAGTGGAGCCAAAAGAAGCTGGCGTGGCAGTTCTAATTCAGATGATTTAGTTTTTAAAGTAACAAAGTAGTGAAAGACAAAGAGGGTCATTATATAATGGTGAAGGGCACACTTCAACAAGAAGAGATAACAATTTTAAATATATATGCACCCAACTTAGGTGCACCCAGTTTCATAAAGCAAACCTTACTGGATCTAAGCAAAAGGATTTTAGCACTCCATAAATCACTGGAGATTTCAACCACCCACTGACGGCACAAGACAGATCCTCCAAACAGAAAATTAATAAAGAAATAATGGACTTAAACAAAACCCTGGAACAACTGGGTCTGACTGACATCAACAGGACATTCTACCCCAAATCCACTGAATATACATTCTTCTCATCAGCTCACAGGACAGTCTGTAAGATTGACCATATCCTAGAGATTTACACAAAGTAAATCTCAAGAAATTTTAAAAAATAGAAATCATACCATGTACCTTCTCAGATCTCAGTGGAATAAAAGTAGAAATCAACCCTAACAGAAACTCACATTTCTACACAAAAACGTGGAAATTAAACAACCTCCTAGTAAATGACTAATTCATAAATGAAGAAATCAAGATGGAAATAAAAAAATTCTACACTGCTACACTGCTGGTGGGACTGCAAATTAGGTCTACCTCTGTGGAAAGCAATATGGAGATACCTTAAAGCGATACAAGTGAATCTACCATTTGATCAAGCAATCCCATTGCTGGGCATCTACCCAAAAGATCCAATGACACTCTAAAAAAAAGACACCTGCACTCGAATGTTTATAGCAGCACAATTCATAATTGCAAGGCTGTGGAAACAGCCCAAGTGCCCATCAATCCAAGAATGGATTAATAAAATGTGGTATATGTATACCATGGAGTACTATTCAGCTCTAAAAAACAATGGTGATATAGCACATCTTATATTTTCCTGGTTAGAGCTGGAACCCATACTATTAAGTGAAGTTTTCCAAGAATGGAAAAACAAGCACCACATATATTCACCAGCAAATAGGTATTAACTGAACAGCACCTAAGTGGTCACATAGGTACTTCAGTAATAGGGTATTGGGCAGGAGGGTGGGGGGCGGGTATATACATATATAATGAGTGAGATGTGCACCATCTGGGGGATGGTCATGCTGGAGACTCAGACTTGTGGGGGGGGAAATGGGCATTTATTGAAACCTTAAAATCTGTACCCCCATAATATGCCGAAATAAAAAAATAATAATAAATAAAAAAAAAAGAGCTAAAAGTAGAACTACCATTTGATCCAGCAATCCCATTACTGAGCAACTACCCAAAGGAAAAAAAGACAATCTATAAAAAAAGACAATTCACAATTGCAAAGATGTGGAAACAACCCAAGTGCCCATGAATACATGAGTGGATTAATAAAATGTGGTACATGTATACCATGGAGTACTACTCAGCCACAAAAATCAATGGTGAACTAATATCTTTTGTATTATCCTGGGTAGAGCTGGAGCCCATTCTTCTAAGCAAGAATCACAAGAATAGAAAAACATGTACTCACCATCAAATTGATACTAATTGATCAACACTTATGTGCACATGTGGAAGTAACATTCATTGGGTGTGTGGCAGGTGGGAGAGGGGAAGAAGGAGATGGGTATATTTACACCTAATGGGTGTGATGCACACTGTCTGGGGATGAGTACTCTAGCTCTGACTTGGGTAGTGCAAAGGCAATATATGTGACTTAAATGTTTGTACTCCTGTAATATTCTGAAATTCAAAAAAAAAAAAATATAAAAGAAAAAGAAACAATTTCTACATTACATTTCAACCATAAGATTATCTGATTGTATGATTTCTCATATATAACTATGTCCACCTTTATGTTGCTGAACTTATTTTCTTAAACTTCCTTGGATTTAAAACAAAACAAAACATATTTAAAAGGTATTTGCTGAGCCCATGAGAATGGCTCCCTGGGAAATAAAAGTTGATTATTAATTCTATTCCATCGCTGTTTTGCTTTCTTCTCTCTGAATGAAGGATAATAATCACTTATCTCTAAAATTAATCATGCATGTTTTATAATAATTATTGAACTGTTTCTTACCTGGAATGTAATTATCATATGTCCCAAAGTTTATTTTTTGGCTATTAAAATAAAAGGAAAATGTTTTTATTAATTTATACAAAATCACTGTATTTAATGATAATTACTATACATAAACACTTTCAACCAATAACTAGAGAAATATTTTGCATTCTCAGAGCTCCATTATTATGTAATTATCCCCATGATAGTAGTGATAAGCACATGTGTTTTCAAACTTCAATAGAACCAAACCAGTTTACCAAATATTCATATATATACATATTTAAAATATACAATAGATATATAAACTCAGCAAATTGCTCATTTGAAATATATACATTTTTAGTTGCAAAACTATGTTTGAATTATTTTCCCACCTCATATTCCATATTCTCTTGTAATTGAAACAAGATACAAGTTTATAAACACTATGCTTAAGCAAAAGGGGGTCCTCAAACATTATGAAAACTCCACCAATTCCAAATTATTAAATGGCATATATGTGTGTCTTTCAATATATGTGTGTGTATATATGTCAGCATGCACCACAAGTATTAATAAGGAATTTCATTGTTTTTGTTCTCTAAAAATATCTAAAAAATAAACTAAGTTGCAAATTATTTTTCATTTATAAATTTCCATTTATTACTATATAAACATGTTTTTCCCGTGAAGGACAGTTTTATAATTTAATATTTATTTGTTTGTAATTGAGGCCAATCATAAGACTTGATAAAGAAATATTATTTCATATTGTTTTATTATATTACAAACATAGAGCCATTGTTGATCATAATAAATTTGAAACTTATACACACACACACACACACACACACACATGCACATACTCACACACATTTATATAATTTATTTAGTTTGACAATATGTATATTAAGAATTAAGTACATAAAAACAGTATCTTAATACCTTGATTAAAAAATGAAATCCAAAGCATGAAATTTGCACATATTTATTGTCATATAAAAATTTGAATTAATTGCATGAAATTTAATATTTGTTGAACAATATGTTATCCAGCCCAGTATTTATTTAACTGAGTATATATACCAAAATTACTTGCCCCACTATATCTGAATCTCTAAGTTTAGATCCAGCCAATATACATTTATACACTGCTAAAGAAATTTTGCTTCTCAGCTGATGTATTCCAAATGCCTTGAAAGAGGAAGTATTTCAGTTTCATGAAACAATACTGTTAAACTTGACATTTTTTAAATGTTACATAGGAATTATTCATTAATTTCTTGTATAATCTCTAGGACATATTCTTTGATCACCAAGAATCTGAATTAGAAAGCAATAATAAAATTATCTGGAAAATGCATAAATATTTAAAAAATAAATAGCTCCCTCTAAAGAACAAATGGTAAAACAGAAATCACAATATGAATCTATTTAAGAATCAACTGACCAATTACTTATCAAAACTTTTGGACTACTGCTAAAAGTGCATAGAGGAGAATTTATAGTTTTAATGCTTTGCATTAGGATAACAATTAAATCAATGTTTTAAATCTCTGTATTAAAATTAGGAAAATAGTATGAGGAAAAATGTAGAGGAAGGGGAAATATGTTCCCACTCATTTCTGAGACCAATATAAATAACCCAAACCTCCCAAATTTTTATTTTCAGAAATGTATATTACAGATGAATACCCTCCATTAGTATAGATACACAATTTCTTAAAATTTAACAAAAAAGGTAAGTAACATTCACTCATAATAAAAAATTCTAAGAAAACTGGTAACACAAAGCATAGTCCTCAAATGGATAAAATGTATCTAGACAATGCCTACTGTTAAAATCAAACTTAATGGTAAAATGTTGATTGTCTTTCCCTATAAATAAGAAATAAGGCAAATATGCTCACTCCTACCATGTCTACTAAACATTGTAATCCAGACTCTATTTTGTTCCATAAGAAAATAAAAGCATCAGGTTAGAAAAGAATAAGTAAAATTGTCTTTATTTGCAGAGGACATGATTGGATAAATAGAATATCTAATGACATCTACATGAATAATTATTAGACCTGATAAGCAGATATAGTAAGATTATATAATACAGAGTCTAATTACATAAGTTAATTATACTTCTATATACCAGGAAAATTGGAAGATATAAATTTAAGTAAATAATATAATTTGTAATAACATAAAAACAAATTATATAGAAACAAGTTATTCAAATATATACAAGACCTGGATAAGAAATATAAAAATTTTCTTCAGGAAAGTAAAGAACAAGAAAAGAAAAACAACCAAAAAGAGAAGTATATTAAAAGACATAGACACAATATTTATAGCAGCTTTATTCACAATAACCCCAAAACTAAAAACAAGTGCCCAGTAACAGGAGAAGGTATCCCATTTTCAGCAATGTGGAATATAATGTATTTGCAACTTAGGGAAACTAGGTTTTTGTTTTCCTAAACAAAAACTTTATATTCAAGTGTAGGAAATATGTGGGACTTTATTTTCTTAAAAGACAAAATCTGTGGTATATTAATACAATGCAATACTCCTCAGCAATTTAACACTATGAATTACTGATATGTGCAACTTATTTTAGGCAAGTTAGTTTATAGTAACTGAACAGACATTTATTGGAGAGAGACAAGGTGTATTGACTGGAATCTGGCACAATGTAACTTTCTGGTGTGGTCAAAATTTTCTATATATTAATATTTCTTAGGGTTGATTAAGTTAGTGTTAGTGACCATTCAATATATTTTGATTTCTTGCATTTTTTCTAAGAAGAATTTATAGGAACCCAAAATAGCAATGATCAAAATACCACAGTCACCACTCACTATGTAAATTTGCATATGTCATAAGCAATTAAATTAATTTAATCTTTTGGACTAGATGGCATTTCCCCGCCCTTTTTCTCAAGTTTGGTTCTGGTGGTGAAAGTATATCTCTTTCCTTGCCTCTCTGGGACAGTCAAGAAATTCTCTAGATTAGGATGCATTTGGATTCAATATTTGATATTTTTTATTTTAAAAAATCATAACAAATAAAGTTTATCACTTATTAGTTTTTTAAATGTTTGATTTTGAAACATTTTATATGATTGCACATATATTTGCATCATTTAAAATTAAGTCTCCCAAGAATAAGATCTAATTTAATGACTTACCTTAAGAAGAGGAAAAAAATGTGACAAGTCAAAAAGATATTTTTTTCTCACTATGACTAGGACTTGAATTAAAGTCTCTACATATATGTAAGGAAACAAGATGAAATGGAATATAGAAGCCACAATTCTGCCTTCACTTTAAACCTATTTAATCATTTTAAAATATTTTTAAGTTATCTGTAAGTTTTTTGAAGTAAAGAAGGTATCCCATTTTTAGCAATGTGGAATATAATGTATTTGCAACTTAGAAAGGGAAACTAGGTTTGTGTTTTCCTAAACAAAAAGTTTACATTCCAGTGTAGGAAATATGTGGGACTTTGTTTTCTTAAAAGACAAAATCTGTTTTTTTTATATTATTACCATAAAAAGTTTTTTAAAGGGGTAAATATTTAACCAACTTTGTATTTATTATTTTTTTCCATTTTAGTCTGAAATAGTTTTAATCTAAATTAAAAATACACCTGCCTTTATTTTGCCTGTGATTGTATCTTTGCTTGGATGTGTTTTAAAAATGTATAATAAATTTAAAAGTCAAGGGTTCTAAACAATCTGATATCTCCCCTAGTTTCATGTAAATTGTCAACAGTCCTCCTGTTTGTATAAATATCCCCAGGTACACTGCCAGATGACTTTAGATTTTTGAATTCTACATAAGCTCAGGGAAAATAAGACCATAAAAGATGTGGTAGAAAGTTTTCCAGGGACTGGGACTGCAGCTCACGTCATTCCTATATATGTTAGAGGAGTGTTTGTGTACAGGCAAAGGTCAACTTCCCCACAATTATTGTTTGGCTGAGGGATGGCTCTGTGTGTGGTAAAATTTTCTATCTTTCACAAACATTTTCTGGAGCAGTTATTCTCAGCATACCTTTATTTTGAAACTGCCTCCACAAAGACATTTTGCCATGTTTAAAGACATTTTGGTTATCACAATTGTCTGTGTGTGTGCGTGTGTGTGTGTGTGTGTGTGTGTGTGTGTGTGATATTGGCATCTAGAGGGTAGAGACCAGGGATGCTGCTAAACATTTTAAAATGCATCTTACAATGCACAGAATGCTGTATAACCCTCTCTCAGCCTCTGACTGCTTCCCTTCCCCACTCCAAAAGAGTTTTCTGGCCTAAAAGATGAGTAGTGCCAAGGTTGATAAACACTTTTCTAGATTAAAGTAAATTCCTAAGCCAAGACAGTAAGGGAAGACTTTATTAATGCTGCTCAAGGGAGAGAAAAATATAAAATATACAGTAGATATGAGATCAGAAAGCTAACACTGAAAGTTAAATGTTCATATTTTTAGGCACCCTGTCTGATACCAAATGTTTGTGAGAATATCTCCCACTTGCTTCATAAGTCTTCTTAGATCTATTCAACATTAGAAATGGAGGACTGAGTTGACTAATACAACCTGAGTTGGAGGCCAAGGCAAAAAGAGGTAAAACCAGTAAGCGGGGCAGTTAAGGTATAAACAGAGCAAAGTTATTAAAGAGGAGTAAGTGGGGAGGGGAGAACTGAGCTCAATGAGGAAAATTTTCTTTATCAGGTTCAAGTTGGTATCCATGGGCACAGAAATGTTAGGTCTAAAACTAAGACTCTGTCATTCTTAGAAGAATTCAGAAAAAAGAAAAATTATTTTCTGCATCTTAAATTCTCTGTATTAAATAAATTGGCAGTTGTCACTTGATTCTAAAAATACACTAATTTGTTATTAAGGATTTTTGTGTATGCTGCTTTGGCTAATGGTGATGCCATTTGATTACGATTTCTATCACACTTTCCTTCTAAAATAACGAGAGTTTTGAGATTACACTAGAATAACACCATAAAGAATCATAAACCTAAAAATACATTTTCACACATTGTGATAAAGTCTTCTGAAAGCTATACAATGATTTAAATATTTTAAAGAAATAATTAACGTACAGTATATTTCTGGAAATGTTAGGTGCCAGAACACAGTTTACTACTGTGCAACAATCATGAAGTCATTTGGTCTCTAAAGCAATCACAACAAATGCATTCAAAGCTTTATCAAAAAATGGCCTTTAAAGTAATGTTATAGCAAAGTAGACACAAGTGCCTATGGAAAGCCTATTTTCAAGATTTACATTTTGTCTCTTTAACAGTACCTAGTCACTGTTAAAGAAAAAGAAAATCAGCCACACTTTTCTTAATATTTCAAAATTCCATTCCTTTATCTTTGTTCCATGCCCTCTGCAAAAATGTATGCATAATAGAAAATTGTTCTTTGCCTACCTTTTAGAAACACAAAATAATTTAAGCATAAGCAAACTACTGTCATCAAACTTACTTCTCATGCCTGGATAATGTACTTTACATTAAAAAGTAGTTTTGTACACTCAATATTTCTCAAGGGAGAATACAATTAGCATTTGGTTGGTCTTCTTTGGGAAGGGCTGCCCTACTTATTACTAAAGATTAACACTCCTGACTTACGCCCTCTCTAGGTCAGTAACACTTCTCTGTCATTGTCACATACACAAAAATTGTTCCCAGAAATTTCCAAATGGATCCTAAAGGGCTGATAATCTTCCGACTGAGAATCATGAATTATTTTATTTTATATTCTCCAAAATACAATGTGATGAGAAATAATGTAAGAAATACATTATTCTTACATTAACTGAATAATGTAAAAAAAAATCAAAAGCTATGTATCTATTTTGATCTTGGATTTAAACAACTTTTGATGTTGCTTCAGAGCATATATTTTTGCTTAAACACATTGTCTCTTGCTTATCGATGGCATAACAATAATAAATAAACATCTCTTCATAATAAAGAGGATAAATGTAAAGCTAACTAGAGTAGTTCAGTTATTTTAAAACATAAAATTTGACAAATTTGACTTACAATCTTGGTACAGACATTATTCCCACCTCTTACTTGCCAGGACTTAAGTATGTTAATTCAAATTAGTGATGATGATAGGTGACATCATAAAGAGGCCAAGAGCACTGGGAATTAAAGGGGAAAACCAAGAAAAGGCACTTGTGTTTTATGCTTTCTAAAATTCTAAGGTTAATGCTTAGAATTGGAGGATAATCTTACTCCTTATTCCAGACTAAATTTAGCTGGGAGTTTTAAAAATAACAAATTGATTTTATATCTTAATAAAATACTTGTTTTAATTTTCATGTAGTTGTGATTTGTTGATATATGAGAAAAAAGATAAATCTAAACATTTATCCACGAAGATCAATTGTAATCTATATATCCTTATATACGTGTAAGTTTTGTTAAATACTTTGCATAATTTTATATTTCCTTTTTCTATCTTATTCTTATAGCTAGTTCATTGATATAAAATTTAAACAATAACTTTACTTATAAACTTGGAAATGCTTATTGAACTTATAAACATAAAGTCAGATTTGAGTTAGTACATTTTTAGTACATGTATAATTCTACCTCATTAATAAATGAATATAAGTACTGTATAAAGTGTGATTTAAACATGTCTTATTTAACTCTTTTTAGAGCATTTCAACTAGTTTTTTTCCTCAGGGAAAAATTTTTATTAAACTTCAGTAAGAGATAAACTATAAAAATCTCTGTGTTTTGACTCAAGGAAAGTTTTAAGTGAATTGAAATGTTTCTCATTTTTCATTTTTTTTTTGTTTCATAAACATTTTTTTTAAAGTTCAAAGATTTTTTTTATAAAATAAGAATGGCAACTTTTTTTTGAAAGAAATTCTTTCATGACTTTTACAGACTTTCTCCCATAACTATAGGTTAATTTGGGCTTTTAAATTTGTTTTTAGGTAGATTTTTATAATACCGATTATTCTGAACTTTTACAGTTTCATCATAATTTTCAGATTAATAACAATGGAATAGAAAATATAATTTGTCAAAGCTATTTGAGAGGTTGAAGCAGAAGAATCATGTGAGCCAGGAATTCGAGAACGACATTGGCAACATCATGAAATGCCATGTCTTTCTCTTTCTCTCTCTCAAAAATAAAATATACACATACACACACACACTTCATTCACTTTAATCCTCTGTTCAGTTTTGATTATCCCATTTCTCATTTTTATTATTTTTTGTTTTTCCTGTATCTTGGATTGAAGTGATCCAAGTGATCCATTTTCATTTTTTTTCTCAAATGCTCAATTTATCAATGTATAATCATTTTACCACTAATATTCACTTACTTTTTGTTTATTTCTTTCATTTTTATATTAAGTAATATTTGCTGCTTCTGTTCATATGTTCTATTATTCTTTCTCGGGTATTCTGAAATAGAAATTGATATTTTATTCATTTTTTTATTGTGTGTAATTTGAGACAGCACAAATATATATCCACAAATTAAACTCAAATATAAATTCTATATCAATGATATTGTACACTTATTACTCTAATTTTAAATACTATTTATCCGTATAATTGGAATTGGAACAATTGAAGCATTGCTAATTGACCAGGACTGTTTGTTCAACGTTTCTGAACATTAAATGAAAATGATTATTTTCCACAAAATGATACTGTCCTTTCTGTACATGAGTTATTAAATGGCTTATACTAATTAGTTCATAAGATACTATCTAAGTCGTTTCAACTAAAGTCCACAAAATTAAGCTCCTAAATGTGAGCTGTGTCTAGATCAAAAATGGCTGTCTGAGTTTAAAAATTGATGAGAACGTTCTTAAATTTATTTATTTTTATTTATTTTTATTTTATATAAAATGGGACTGTTTATGTAACTGATTTTTAAAATATAATACACACCTTTTTAACATTATATAATCTTTCCTTCCAAAAGAAAAATATCACTATGTTGAAAGATATCTGTACATTCATGTTTATGGCAGCATTTTGCTCAAATAGCCAAGATAATGGCATCAACCTAAGTGTCTGGATTATTTTAAGATTTTTTCAATTGCAGAAAATATGCAGTGGGAAGGATGTGATGCTAGGATTAAAGAAGGGTCTGGTTGCCTTTGATTTTCATATACACGTAGCTGAGGTTGATGGTCAATGTAGTTCTCATAAAGGAGCTTAAATATACATACAGAAACAATGTTTACTCTGATGGTCTGAATTGATCAATAAGAAAGAAGAAACAGCAATGCAGATATAAGGCTTTATTCACTCTCCAACCATAGCAGCCTGCAACTAGTTTTAATTTGAATGGTCCTGATCCAAGGGGCTTCTTGAAAGATGGCAGATGAGAAACACCGCCAGACACAGTGTATCTGAAGAAAAGACAGATTCTAGCAGAAATTAGAAGAAAGAAGCAAGCAGACCAGCATAACATCGGACGAGGTTAGAAGGGGGGTACCTGAGACCACGGGAGACTCCACGGAAGAAGGTTGCAGAGAGAACTGGAATCAGAGACCGCCAGAGCGCCTGAGACCAGGCAAAGGTAGCACAGAATTAACTGTCCCCTCCCTTGCATCTCAGACTGGTGGTGGGCTCCCCAGCAGGTGGAGAGACCTGCGGACACCAGCCCAGAGATGGCCACCAACAGTGAGCGGGAGTGATCGAATCTCACCCACAGACACCACCTACTGGATCAGAAACTAAACAAGGCATGTGAATAACCAAATGAAAACCTAAAAGGAAAGAAGCAACTGATTGACATGGAAGAAAATCAGCGATGGAACTCAGGAAATATGAAGAACCAAACGAAAACACACCCCCAAAGAGGAGCACTAGCCCCTTAGAAACAGACACCAACCAAAATTAGGCAACCAAAATGACAGAAGAGGAATCCTGAATGTGGATCATAAGAAAATTCAATGACCTCAAGAACAACTCAATAACCAACACAAAGAAACCACAAAAAGCCTCCAGAACCTGGAACAAAAGTTCACTAAAGAAATCAAATACAATGAAGAAAGTTAACTGAACTCCTGGAATGAGAATCAATTCAGGAACTACAAAATACAGTGGAAAGTCTCAAGAACAGGGTAGATCAAACAGAAGAAAGAATCTCAGAAATTGAAGATAACACCCTCCAATAAATAAATCAGTCACAGAGATAGAGGCAGAGAATAAGAGAAAAGGCAAAGCTACAAGAGATGTGGGAATTATGTGGAAGAACCTAATGTGAGGGTCATAGGGTTACCAGAAGGGCAGAAGACAACACTAAAGGGTTGGACAAGGCTATTCGAAGATATAATAGAGGAAAATCCCAGCCTTGCTCAAAATCTCAATATCAAGTTCAAGAAGGTAAGACCCTGTGAGATTCAATGCAACAGGAGACGTCACGACAGTGCGTCATAAGACTGATCAAAATATCAACTAAAAGCCCTTCTAAGAGCTGTAAGATGAAAGAAGCAAGTAACATACAAGGGAAAGCCAATTTGAATAACACCAGACTTCTATACTGAAACTTTACAAGCAAGGAGAGACTGAGGCCCCATTCTCACTCTTCTAAAACAGAATAATGCCCAGCCTAGAATCTTCCTCCCTGAAAAACTAAGTTTTGTATATGAAAGGAGAAATCAAGACTTCTTCAGATAAGCAAAGACTGAGGAATCACCAAAGACAAGACCAGCCCTTCACAAAGTACTCAAAACAGTGTTACCCACAGATCAGCACAATAAACACTCACGAATGTAAACCTACTCAAAGCTAAAGATCAAAGCCCAGACACTACAATAGCTCAAGAGAGAAAACAGAGCAACAAAGTTCAACTGAACATAATGAACAGAAATCTGCCCCACCTATCAGTTATCTCAATAAAAGTGAATGGCTTGAACTCCCCACTCAAGAGACATAGGCTGGCCGAATAGATAATAAAACACAAGCGAAGTATCTGCTACCTTCAGAAAACACATCTAACCTGCAAGGATGCAATTAGACTAAAGGTAAAGGGGTGGATAATGATATTTCAAGCAAATGGAAGTGAAAAGAAAGCTGGCATGGCGGTGCTGATTACAGATAACTTAGTTTTTAAATCAACAAAAGTAATAAAAGACAAAGAAGGCCGGGCGTGGTGGCTCACGCTTGTAATCCTAGCACTTTAGGAGGCGAGGCGCAGCGGATTGCTCAAGGTCAGGAGTTCGAACAGCCTGAGCGAGACTCCGTCTCTACCAAAAATAGAAAAAATTAATTGACCAACTAAAAATATATATACAAAAAATTAGCCGGGCATGGTGGCGCATGCCTGTAGTCCCAGCTACTCGGGAGGCTGAGGCAGTAGGATCGCTGAGCCCGGGAGATGAGTTGCTCGTGAGCCAGGCTGATGCCACGGCACTCACTCTAGCCTGGGCAACCAGTGAGACTCTGTCTCAAAAAAAAAAAAAAAAGACAAGAAGGTCGCGTATATAATGGTGAATGGTACGTTCAACAAGAAGACATAACAATATCTAAATAATATATGCACCCAACCTTGATGTTACCCAGATTCATAAATCAAACTCTACTTGATCTAAACAAATGGATAAACAACAACACCATAATAGTTGGAGACTTTAAACACCCCACTGACAGCACAGGACAGATCCTCCAACAGAAATCAACAAAGAATAATGGTCTAAACAGGACCATAGAACACAGGGGCCTGACTGACATTTACAGGACATTCTATCCCAAAACCACTGAATATGTGTTCTTCTCATCAGCTCATGGGTCATTCTCTAAGATTGACCATATCCTAGGACACAAAGCAAATCTGAAACAATTTTAAAAAATAGAAATTATACCATGTATCTTTTCAGACACAATGAAAAATGTAAAATCAATCTAACAGGAGTCCTCATTTCTACACAAAGTCATGGAAACAAACATCCTTCTGCCTGAATGTCACTCATAAACGAGGAAATCAAGATAGATATCAAAAGATTCTGAACTAAACAAAAACTGACACAAGTTACCAAAACTATGGGACACAGCTAAAGCATCTGAGAGGAATTTATTCCATAAATGCCTATATACCAAAGTTGAAAGATCACAATAGACAACCTAATGAATCGTCTCAAAG